TCAAAGGTGCTTCCCACTGTCAGCCCAGAGCTGCCTTTTCCTAGGCTTTGCTCAGAGCAAGGGGCCTGTTTCAGAGCCAGAGGAGGGACACAGTGCTTGCCCTGCCACCCCTCACAGCACAAGGACCCTTATGAGACAGGGAGTTCAGGAAGTCACAGAGCCCTGATTACATGGCTGGTGCAGTTTCTAGCACAGACTTTCTCCAGCAATTTCCACCTTTTTTTTTTTCCTAACGCTAGCTCAAAATATGTCTTCCCAAACAAAAGTTACATCCTGAATGCAGCTGTGAACATTTCTATGCCCAGTGCTGTGACTGATCAACAAAACCCTACAGTGGAAGGAGGCTCAGAGATGGGCGCGGGCAATGCACTCATGATGCTGGGAAGAATAAGAGGAGGGACCACAGCTGTTGTAGAGAAAGCTGAACTTACCTGTGGAAGAGATCAGAGGATAGCTTTTGTTTTAGATTAATTTCCATATCAGATGAATGATTTGTGTAGGTGGCCTAAGTTACTCACAATTTGTGAATGTCTTCCTGAGCCAGCCAGACGAGTATGGGGCTCTGCCCAACACAAAGTGTAAAAACTGAGTAACTAACAAAACCAAGCTTTGAAGAGAGCTACAGGCTTGAGCTGGCTTCAACCCATGCATTTCTTCCGGGTGACTGGAGATACCCGTCATCATGACTCTGAGTGTACACAAGGCCAGCAGTGGGAATTTCACTTGCATTGTGATCCAACTGGATTTTGTGACTGTTTTATTGTGCTTGTATTGTGATTGCTGCTTCACCCTGCTCAATCAAAATGCCATCTAACATCAAATGTCTTCAAATAAATACATTTGGTATTAGCACACCTAACCCTCCTAAGATGGAATACCTAAAAGAGCTTGGTTAGAGTGTAAGGGACAAGAGAAGCAGGAGGGCTGCTAGGCAACACAGCCAGGAAACACCTTACCACACAGTCTGCATCCCCAGGGAGGTTAATTTGCTCAGGACAATGTACACAGCAGTATAATGCAGAACAGTTTGAAATGGCCACCCCTTTGTAGCATCAAGGGCAGATGGGATGTAAGAAGACAGGTTTATGCATGTACAACCTGCCTAGTAATGTAAGGCCACAACTTCACACAAGCAATAGAGACAGCAGGTGATACTCCTTTCTGACCTCGATTCAGCTTAATTTTTAGTTGCTTCAACAAAACAATCATAATAAGAAACTAACAATCTTACATGTATCAAAAAGTAGAACTCTAAATATATTTATTATTCAGTTACATTTGCTTATCATTGCACAAATTTGTTTTTATCCCCATGTTTTACAGTTGTTTTACAAAGCTGCTAGAAGTTTTAGAAACTGTTAAAATGATCACTTAAGTCTATTTAGGCACAGCTCATTAACACAACTCCATTTCATCCATTTTTTTCTCTGTGTGAAAGATTTATGGTTGTATTTAAGATCCAAATTGAAATAAATTTCACAGTCTAAGCTTTTATGGGCACACTGTCTGAAAAAGAAGTTTTAATTAAATAGTCTCACCTTATGTTGTCAGCAAAGCCTAAATAAAAGCAAGTTTGTGTCCAAAGATGCTGAGATCAACAGAACCCTGGGAAAGGAACTAAGATGGTCAATTATTTTATTATTTTCTACACCAGCCAGTCATAAGATAACAAAGAAACAGTCCTCAAGAGGATTTTAAAATCCCCTTGAAAAATTACTTTAACTTGGAAATAATTTAAATAACTTATTCTGTATGAAAAATAAGGAAAAAGAAATCCAGCAAATAAAACACATGGTGGAAGAGAAAGTGTTGTGCCCCCTGGACTGCTGAGGCCATGTCAAGTGCTCTCTCTTCTGATAATGATGGCTTGAGAACCAAAAAGGTCCTATCCCTCGCGCTATCTTCTGTAAAAAAAAGCTTTCAAGTTTGAAGCTGTCAGGCCCCTTTGACATGGCTGAAAAAATGTGAGCTTGTCAATTTCTTACAAAGCTCTTGTCTTTGGTGAGAAAGTCAGACCACTTCTTGTGTAAGATCTATGTGTTTGGATTAAAGCTCTGTATCTGGGGTGAGCTGCTTTTCCATGTAACTGCACAATGCAGTGTTCCCAGGGCACAGGAAAGTCCATTTTAGAGGATTAGATAAGAGCTGAAGTTGGTTTCAGCAACTTTGTTATTAATATACTATTTTTTACAGAAAGAATAGTATTAAATAAGTGACTGATGCTAAAGGACTCTTCCTGAAGAACAACTACCCCCTCTCTGTAATGCTGCAGAAAGAAACAACAATATATCTGGCTATTCAGCACCCACATCTGTTTTTGATATTTAGAAATTCATGAAATATTTTTGAAATCTGGGTGAACACCTTGCAGCAGAGCAAGAGGGATGCCAAAGTCTTTGTGTGATTCTCATACATAAGAGTATTTAGTGCCCATCAGCTCCCTGCTGGCTGTTGCTTTCAGGGATAATAAGAGAAGCATTTTGCATGAGCACAGGCAGTACACAGCCTTTAGTTCTCTTGCTAAGGAGTCCCTTTGTAGGAATTTCTTACTACCGGAGATTTTGTATTTAGTTGTTTTTTAAGACTCTGGGAAATCATTAGGCTTCAGGGAACTAGCAGGACATAATATTCACTCCTACATGTGTCACAACAGAGGTGGAGAGTTACAGGTTAAACAGTGGTTGCTTGCGCTGCTTGGGTTTAAGACATTCCCATAAGCTCTGTATTTGGGACAAGGAAAAACACTCCCCTCTCCAGTGCTGCTGCTGCATTCAGACCCTGGGGCAACTGACAGTGCACTCTCTTGCCCCACACCACGGGAACGAATGAGAGGATACCCTCAGGCCCCAACAAGGCAGGCAGGTCTGTGCATTCCCTCAGCGCTGCACATTGCACCCAGACTGCATAAAGTTGCTCACAGGTGCCAGCCTTAAATCAAGGATGTGACCTGAATCCTGTGGCTCCTCTCACCCTAAGCTAAGGGCTGAGGAAGGGAGCAAGCTAAAGAGCTCGTGTTTAAGGGCACAGATGAGTGTGGCTGCAGGGCCTCAGGAGACTGGGCAGCCTGGGGAATGCAGGCAGTTAGGTAACACAGCTGGAAAGAGGAAGCCTGCAGCTGCAGGCGGCTGCAGGCATAGGATAAGGTGCTGGCACCTGGGAAGTGAGGAAGCAGTAGCTGCAGCTGTGGAGGACTGTTCATGACTGACCGTGATCCTCCTGTGGCTGATGTCACACTTCTAGCACCACTGTTGAAAGGTCTCCAGCAGGTTGGGGATCCACCTCCCCCCTCCCCCTTTTAATCCCTCTTGGCAAGCTGCCTGTTTCCAACACGTGCAGCTTTAAATGTTGTTCTCATTTATCTGATAAGCACCACAGGACCACAGCCCCCAACAGTCTGTGCCTGGTCTTTGGCAGAAGGAGGGAAAGAAGGCCACTGACTCAAAGGACCCAGATACCCTGCTGCACCTGCAGCTTCTCTGGTGAGAAACAGTCCACACCACCACCCCTTTAAAGTAGGACCTCCAAACACCAATTCTCCTTTACTGGCCCTTAGCAGCCCCAGTGCAGCCTCCTGCTCAGAGCAGGACTATCCCCAGCACCAGGTCAGGGCAGCCACAGCTTTGCCTAGCCACCCAGCTCCAGGGTCAAGCTGTGAGGCTAGAGGGGTGCATGATGACCACTTTGGAGCTAGAGATGCCTCTGAATCAAGGAATCACGATCAAGGTTAAAAAAGACTTTCAAGAACATCATTCTATAACTCCTAACCATGAACCAACTCCTGAAACATCATGTCTAACTATTTTTTAAAACACCTCCAGGTATGGTGCCTCCACCATCTGAAGCTCTCCTGTAGAGTGATTGTCCTGGTTTGAGCCAGGATGAAGCCAATTTTTCTTTTTACTGATTTTTTTTTCCTTCAGTAAGCTTTCTTGTAACTAGCAACAGTGTGTTCTGCTAGGCTGATAAGACAGTGGAATGTTTTTCTAACTACTGAGGCTTCAAGGCTGCACCTGCACTCTGCCGGCTCAGACACTATGGGAAGATCTGTGACCCCTCCCCGTAAGAGGCTGAGTTAGATGGACAGCAAAATTGGCCAAAGATATTCCATTCCATATATCTACGTAAGCTGAAAGGAAGGTCAGAGATCACAGAAGACAACTTCCTTCCTTCTTCTTCTTCCCTTCTCTTCCGTCCATGGCCGGTGTCCAGGGAGGACTCTGTTCATCCATCACCGTCGATCCTCAGGCTTGATCTCTTGTGACCCCCATAACTCTCTGCTTTCTCCAGCAGCAGCTTCGGGATTCCTCGGGACTCTTCCCAGTTCAGGGAAGTGCTGTGGGAGTTGCTGGGGTGGGGGGAGGCGAGAGGCTTTTGCCCATACCTGAATATATCTGTATATAATTGTATATATTTTCTTGTATAATTCATTAGTGTTTTAATTAAAGCTGTGTAGTTTAGTTTTCAATCCAGCCAAGTCTCTCTCTCTTTTTTTCTCTCTCCTTCCCTACCTGGGTTGGGGGGAGGGGGGATTGAGAGCATTGTTGTCGGACCTAAGTCAAACTGTGACAGTGATTTATCAGGGCAGGAGAATAAGTAGCCACAGGAGCCACACTACTGGGTCCAGGGGCAGGATAACAAGCTGGAAGCTGCCTTCAATCTCCCATCCTCATGTCATGGGGAGAGGCAGCAAAACAGTTTTTTTCTAAAGCTTAATAGGTGGCTTCTCCAGGATCAGAAGAGCAAGATTTTCCAAAGTCTTTCACTAGCATTAATGCATGAGCTTCTGACATGAGTGAGCAGGCAAGCAAGGGGAGCCTGAAGAAGTGCAGTAAGTCCATCAGTAACTGCCTGTTGATGATTAGGGAAATGTGTCCACCACAAGCCAGGGATGCTACCTGAAGCATCATTTTTTCCCCCAGAAAAGAACTAGGAAGAGTTATCTGCAGAAACAAGAGTCTGCTCCAGTTGCCAGGGGTGCAAAGAGCTCCAGACCAGCACCCTCAGTATCTGCCTGGGTCCATGCAGAGGTTTCTGAGCTCCAGCTCCAGCTGTTTAATTTGGACATCTCTCTGGTTTACCAGCTCACGTAGTCTACGGATTTCATCCTGTTGCCGGTAAAACATCTGCAAAAGCTGCAAGAAAAGTCACATTTTACTTTCCTTACACTAAGAAAACAGACTTAACCTTTCAAATGCCACCAGTCCCATCACATCAATTCTGAAAGAAACAGCATCTAAAGAGGAGGCCTTCAACTGGCAGCTGACCATGAGCAGTACTCTTGCTGTCCACTAGCCTAGGCTATGAGCGTGGATGTTTCTAGGCACCATTTAGTAATGCTACATCTGCTCAGTTCAATGAAGAAGACCAGAAAAAATAACCTTCATACCACCAATCACTCAAAGGAAGCACAGACACAGAAAATGTTTGCAGTTTAAATTTCTGGATGTGCTGCACCTCTTACTCTGACCCTGAGCAAGTCCTTTTACTTCTTTTTTTAAATTTTTTTCTCATGCTCTGTCCCCTCCAGTTGGGAGTAGCATTGCCTTCCACTGTGTATGCAGCACAGCACCCAGCTCTGCTTCTGTAACATTGGGGTACCAGCTTAGAAACATGGAGAAGGACATCTTTTTTTCACAACACAGGGAAATTCCTGCCCCATCATGCTGCAGACCCTGAAATCTTGCAGGGCTGAAAAGGAGGCCTTAGCATAGCTATGGGAAGGAAATCCCTCCAGGGTTCCTAACTGTTGCAGGCTGTTTTAATAAACAACGGATATGTGAGCAATCCTGTTTTTACTGATAGAACACCTGGGCCTCAACGACCAAGGACCTTCTCATGAGAACCAGTTGATAAAAAGTGAGGCAACGAAGTAAAGACCCGGACGTGCTGAAGAAGGAGTTGGGGTGGAGAGTTCTGACTGAGCATGTGCATACCTGAGCCTAGGAGCCAGTCACTGTTTAAATCGTGGCAGGCTCTAGTACAGCTGACCAATCATAAGCGTAGTTCCGGACTTGTACAAACTCGGGTTAAGGGTATATAAGTGCCTGTCATTTCTAATAAAGTTGGAGTTTGCTCTATCAATCATATTGATTGTCTTGCGTTCTTCCCTCACTGGACACCTCCGCGTACCAACACCTAACAGCAAAGAAGCTGCATGTACTCGAAAATATCCCTGAGCTGCCAGTGATGGGGGCTTGCAAATCACCACTGTACAAGCTCTGCTATTATAGAGGGAGGAGGCTGGCCATAACTGAACACAGACCATGCAGCTGCCAGGACATTTTCTGGAGCCACTCCCAGGTGTAGCTTCAGTGGCACTGCAGTGCCAAGTTGGCCCCCAGCAGCACACTGCTGAGGCAGAGGCAGAGCCAGCCCCTTTGCCATGTCAGGGTCCACAGTATGGTTAGGTGTGTCAGACTACATGGATGCACCAAGTGCGGAGGGAGCTAGGGACACTCAATCCTTCCACAAGCATCCCTGCTGCTTCACCAGGCTCTCTGACTGTGGCTCTCATAGAAATGTTACCCTGCATGAACTTGTGTCTCTTCTCCGGAACCTGGAGTTCACAAGGATCTCCTTGTCCCCAGTCAGCCACCAGGCAGGCCTGTGCCACAAGAATGCCTAAGAAGCAGGAATACCAATTGATCCCTCCTTTCCATACACCCTCAGCTGGGGTGCTACTGGGCCACATTTCTGCTTCCCACGTGGCAGCCAGGGCATGCAGAGCTTCTGTCCCTATAAAGAGCAAAGAGCTTACACTGACCCAGATCTGCAAAACAAAGTCTCCCTGGATTCTGTCACCTTGTGAATGACATCCTTTTGCCAGGTATCTCTGGGCTTCCTCCCACAGCCCCAACCCTCATCCCAGACATGCATACCTCATTTTCAGTTTTTGGTGGTGGACACTCAAATATGTCAAAGCCATTGGAGAGGCACATTTGCTCCTTTTTTGGCAATTCCTCCTCCACTTTCCACTGTTTTCTGCTGTCTTTGATCTCACTTGGCTTCTGTGTGCCCTCTGGTGGCATTCTTCCTCCCCAACCCTGGTGCTGGCTCTGGTCAGTAGCTTTCATAAGTGATTCTTCCTCAAGAAACTGTGGTGATGAATTCACAGCTCCAGAGCCTGGTCTTAAAGATACCAAGACAGGTCCTAGGGAGGGAGGCAGGTGACAGCTTAGCACACCCAAACCACACTCAGAAATGAGCTGTAAACAATTAATTCTAACAACCTGTAGGGATACACATGGAGGCATTTGATTGGATAGGCTTCCAGAGCTCACAGTGGCCACCAAATTATTTCAGCTTACAGCCACATTTGGTATGTCTCTTCTTTTCTCCCTTCCTCTTTCTCTAGCAGCTTACATGGCAGAGAGCCAGCAGCAGCTTACCCAAGCCCTGGGGAGCTGTAGGGCTGGGGTGCTCTCCTTGTGCTGACCTTTGTTAAATCCTTTCAGCCACTCTACTGCTGTCATCGCTGGCTGGGCTCCAGTGGTCAAGGGGTAGATGTCTTCCTGGTATGACTCCGACTACAAGCAAACAAAAGCCCATGTCAGTGAGGTTTTGGCTTAGGGGGAGCACACTAGATAGTGATGGAGTGTCCTGCTTTGACCCAGCAGGCAGCTAAATAGAACAGCTCACTCACCCCCAGCCCCCAGGCATGGAGGAGAGAATCAGAAAGGTAGAAAGACTTGTAGGATGAGATAATAACGATTTTAAAATGGAAATAGTAATTATCATGATCACTATTATTATGGCAAATATTAATAATAATAGAACAAAAAAGAGACTAAATTATCCACAGTGCAACTGCTCACCACCCACTGACCAATGCCCAGCCTTTCCTTGGCTAGTGATCCTGGGGGAGAGACACCCCAAACCCTCTGTCTCAAAAGAAAGAGAGTCCAATTTCCCAGCCCACTCTCATCTATATACTGAGCACGGCATGGTATCACATGGAATATTTAATCAGCCAATTTGGGTCCAGTGCTCTGCCTCTGTTCCCTCCCATCTTCTTGTGCACCTGCACACAAGTAAAGCATGGGAAGCTGAGAAGTCCTTGATTTATTAGCAACAACGCAAAACATCAGTGTGTTATCAACATTCTTGTCATACTGAGTCCCATACCGAGTCCAAAACACAGCACTATTCTAGGTCTATCCCAGCTGAAACCAGAACACATCTGAAGGCCTATTTTGATTCCTGCT